CACGTACAAATATGTAATGACAACTGTCATCAGTATGTGCAACTATAATGCACCAATGAAAAGATGGAAAACATACACATAATCTTCACCACTGTGAAATGTTGAAAGTCAAATAAAAATGTTTTTTTTTTGTGAAATAAAAAAAGTTAATGGTTTAATCTTCAAGCAATATTTGAAATATTCAAAATCGTAGTCAGACAGCAGCTTTGGCTTCAGGAGGTATGTTCTCAGATCAGGAGCGTGGGTCCTGCTTCCACACTCCACCTGGCTTCATCCTACCCACGAGGCCACAGAGCTGGACACCTTGGATGTTAAAGGAGGCTTAAAGGTGTTTCATTCCAGGTGGGAGTTTTCAGAAGGCTCTTGATGGAGTCCTGTTGACACCTGAGTATTCCTGATCTGGCACTAGCATAGCTTACTTCAGAAGGCCACCGTGAGGTGTGATATCGTTGCTTCAAACGCCCACGAATCTTTCCTAAATGCAAAACCCTTTGTAGACCCCTCATCCTGCTCTAGCTATAGTCTCAGAGAGATCTCTGTATTTGTTCTACCCATTCTTCTACCATATTTTTCTGAGGTCATTCCAATCGAGCTTTGGTCTAATTACTTAGGTGGCACATCCTGGGTTGTCCTCACCCATCAGCAGTCAGCTCTGTGCTCCTTAACTCAACGTACTGACATCGGTGCTTCATATTATGGAAAGCATCACAATCCCATCCACCAAACCAACAGTGATCTTGGTTAAATTGTTTCTTTGGGACTTTCTTGAAACATTGAGGTGCTGTAAGTCCACAGTCCTGGTTTTGGCAGTGCTCAACTCTTGAGTTCACTCATATTTTTCAAGTAAAAAGCACTGTGCAGAAGAATAAAACTAGACGCTTACATGTGATTGGTTACAAATACCCACTCAAAATGGATTAGCCACTTAAGTGTAAGTCTCAAAGCTATCAAATTACTAGCAGGAAATGTAGTAGAAATCCTTTAGGACGTTGGAAATAAAACCCCTATGTGTCATCAGTTGAAATATTTACTCAAAATGGATTAGGCACTCAAGTGTAAGATACAAAGCTCTCAAATTATTAGAAGGAAACAGAGTAGAAACCCTACAGGACATTGGCCTAGGCAATAATTTTTTTTAAGTCCCCAAATGTACAGGTTACAGAACAAAAATTGACAAATTGGACAAAGTGAACCACAGAGTGGGAGAAAATATTTGTAAACTACATGTCTGGCAAGGTGTTAATATCCAGAATGCGTATGGAGCTCAAACAACTTGACAGTAAAGACACCAATAACCCAATTAAACAATGGTCCTATGTATATATCTGGCAGTCCGCATCAATCACATGGATTAAAATCTTCCGTGGAAAATATAAAAAGCAATCTTAAGGGTCAGTCGACATCAATCTTACATGAAAAGGCTGAGCATTTGCCTTTTTGCCTTACATTAGCTAATATTAATTATAGTATTTACATCCACATATGCTACATATTTTCACTCCTAAAATAGCTACAAGTCTTCCTGATATCAGTAGTTATGTGGAGATGATTTCATTTGTAGTTTAAAAGGACCACTTTAGGGGCTGGGGAAGTCTCCCAAGTGGTAGCACGCTCTCCTGGCATGTGCAGGGCACTGGGTTCTATCCTCAGCACCACATAAAAATAAAATAAAGATGCTGTGTCCACCAAAAACTAAAAATAAATATTAAAAAAAGGAGAACTTTACTTATTAGAGAAGTGACATGTGTTATGTAAGCAAGGGCCAAGAAACAGAGATGAGCAGACACCATGGTGACAGCTGGATGGCTGGATGCCTGGCCTCAGGGGTCAGGAAATCAGCCCAAACTCCTCACTGTATATTCTTGGTCTTTAAGGATGTGCACGTCTGGGATCAGGATGATAGTAACATAGCTGGTCTAATGAGGAGCTCTGGATATTGGGCCCCAGGGAAAGAGAGGCTGCGGGAGTCACATATGACCGCCTCCCTCAAAAAGCCCTGCCCAGCCAGGAAGCAGCCTCTGAGCTCCTCCCAGAGATGAGCCTTCCTGACCAGGACCTGTCGAGTTGGTCGGGCTGTCTGCATTTCCTGTGGGCACATCCTCCATCTTCAATATCCCAGGTGAAATATTGATCACTATTGCTTTTTAAAAATGTTTTTATTAGTGTGTTACAATCATACATAATAGTGAGGTTCATTTTGACATCATCCCATACTGAAAGTCCCTTATTTTTGTCACCAAAAGCTTATCCTTGTCCCCGATGCCAATCCAATAACAAGGACTAGATTTTGAGAAAAAGGAGGAAGTTTTATTGCTTTGCTAGCAAAGGAGAAACAGGACACTCTTGTCCCAGAGACTGTGTTTCTGCATCACGGGGGACAGGGGGTTTTTAAAGAAGCTATTCAAAGGCTGCATTTCAGGTGTTTCCTGTCCGGGGGTTTGTAATTTAGGAGATAGTCATTTCTTTTTTGAATTTAATTTTATTTGTTCTTTTTAGATATACTTGACCAGGGAGATAGTCATTCTTAGATCTTCTGGTGCCATCCCTAGCGTCTGAATTCCTTGGTTCCTGTGTGTGTGTGTCGGGGTGTGCTCAAGGACAGAGAACTGGGCCTAGGATGGGAAAAGGTGATCCTGCTTCCTGCGAGGGTAGGGAGGGGAAGAGGGAGAAGAGGAATAGAAAACACAACATCCATTTAAATAAAGCCCCCGTGGCAGAGCAGACAGTCAGGCAGGACGCTGCAGTTGGTCAGTGTTACTCTGTCACAGTTAGTGCTGGTATCATTGATGTTTCCTTCTGATTATTCTCCATGACCAGCGTTTCCAGAGGTAGTTCCAGTGGGTTACATGCTTCCTGATATTTTCATTTGTCGTATTGGGGATGTTTTCTTTCTTTCCTCTTCCCTCAACCTCCCCAACATGTTACTTCTTTTTGAGGAATAAATAGCCATGCCATCATTTGTGACAGGGGGAGAAAAAAAAGAACCCAATAGGAAAAGTCAGCGTGAGGGTGGCGAGGATGTGGCGAGCACTGTGGGGAGCACTGCTTTTGTTCAATTCATTTCTTATCATGAAAAATCCCCAGGTTTTTTCCAGCTTCACTGAAATATGATTAAATATGATTTTATCTGTTTGAGGTGCACAGTGTGATGCTGTACCAACCTTGCAAAGTCATAGTGAAGCCAATTAACACGTCCTGTTGCGTCATCCAGGTTCCTCGCTCAGCTGGAGACTTTTCCCCTTGCACAGACACGAGCTGGAGCTTGGATCACACTTGGACTGTGTGAGTCCAGTGTCACATCTAATGGTAAGTGCTGCTGCAGCCAGACACTTCGGTCTCCCCTAAAGGCCACGACTCTAAGTGACCCTCCTAGTAGGGCTCTGATTATCTTCTAAGTCTCTTATAAAGGTAGGTTATCTTATAATCTGTATTCTGAATACCAGCATATGGCTATTAGTTTTATCTGTTTTCTTAGAAAATTATGCTTATCACTTTTTATTATTTAGCTGACCCCCTCCCTTTTTTAAAATGATACGCTACCTATTACCTCATGGGAAGAACTCTCTTAGGATGCAACAGAGTCTCATAGATAGAGTTGCTCAGCTTCTCCTAGAATTAATTGCTAAAAGAGGTGGCTTACATTTCTAAGGGGAAGTCTTAAGAGCAACACATCTAGAGGCAACTTTTTCTAATCCTTGTTCAGTTCCATTGGGATGGATGCTATCTACCTGCCATAAGTTACTTTGTGTTTTGAATATAACCCTTGCTGCTCCGTCACTGCAATTTATTTTTTAGAGGGGCATGTTTCTTTCTCTTCTCTCCCTGCTCCTCCCTAATCTCTCCCTTTCCCTAATCTCAGGGAAACAGGATTACCTTTTTGAGCCATCCTAGGCACAGCTATCTGTCCTTGAGCACATACCCACAACAGGAACAAAGTAATCCAGACTTTGGGGATATACCAGAAGATCTCAGAAATGACTATCTCCCAAATTAACAAGTGAATTACAACTCCAATGAGAACAAGAACCTCTTTAAAAGTCCCCTATTCCTGCAGATGGACAGAATCACAGTCTTTGGGACAGGAGTCTCCCCAGTTTCAATAAACTTTCTTTTTCCTTTTCCTCAAAACCATGTCCTCGTTATTGGATTGGCATTGTGGATCAAGGACCAATCTTTCAGCAATAGTGCTGGACACACCTTTGCAATCCAGGGAAAGACTTAGAGGCTTTGGTTAGAAAGGAAATATTAAAATTGCAAAGGTAAATTATGAGATCTGAGTGATCATTTAGTAATGCTAATTCTGTGCTATCCAGGGCATTAACAGGTTGATCAATAAAATCAACTCATCAGTGAACACATCTGAGTTCAAATCCAGTGTTTGCCAAGTACTCACTGTTTATTTCACATTCATGATGAAGCCTCACCTTGAGTGCCCTTGTGGGTAAATGGGGGTGATAGTAAGAAGTAACACACCTGCTCTTTGACATAAGCTTCAGAGATTCCGAAGGCAAGGAAAAGTGTGGGAACCATTGCTTTAGAAGATAGATTTCGTGATTTTATTCTCATCTTTTCATTTAAGGCAAAGAATAATTCTAATTGAAAAGCCATATCTTATGTTTTGTTTAATTCTCAGTTCTTAGCACAATACATGAGATAGTTGATGTCAATAAACCAGTGCTTCAAGGGAGTGGAGGAAGAGGAGTGAGGGAAGGAGGGAAGGAGCATGGAGGAAGAATTAGAAAATAAAAATATTTGAATATTCACTTGGCATCATAAGAAGGTTCTGCACTGAATATACATATTCTCAAAAGTCAATATATATCAAAACTCCCAGAGGGGCTTTTTAAAGTGTAGAAGTGGGTCCTTATCCTCAGAGTTCATGAGGAGTCAGTTTGATTAGGCAATAAAAAACCTGTACTTTTAACATGTTCCCAAATGCTGCTGCTGCTGGTTCATACATTTTAATCCACTCAATATTTCCCTCCGTCAGATTCATCAACAACATGGGAGCTAGAAATGAAACAGATGTTTCCAACTTCCTCCTCCTGGGACTGACAGATGACCCAGCACTGCAGTCCCTCATCTTCAGCCTGTTCCTGTCCATCTACCTGGTCACCATCCTGGGGAACCTGCTCATCATCCTGGCCATCAGCTGTGACTCCCACCTCCACACCCCCATGTACTTCTTTCTGTCCAATTTGTCCTTGGCTGACATGTGTTTAAGCACAAGCACGATTCCAAAGATGCTGGTGAACATCCAAGCACAGCAGCACAGCATCACCTATGCAGGGTGTCTCTCCCAGGCCTGCTTCGTTTTGGATTTTGCAGGCTTGGAAAATTGTCTTCTTGCAGCAATGGCCTATGACCGCTATGTAGCCATCTGTCACCCTCTGAGCTACACAGTCATCATGAATGCCCGCCTCTGTGGTCTGCTGATTGTATTATCCCTGGTCATGAGCCTTGTGAATGCCCTGCTGCTCAGTCTGATGGTCCTACAGCTGTCCTTCTGCACAGACCTGGAGATCCCCCACTTCTTCTGTGAACTCGCTCAGGTCATCGAGCTGGCCTGTTCTGACACCCTCGTCAATAACCTCCTGATATATGTTGCAGCTGTCCTATTTGGAGGAATTCCTCTCTCTGGAATAATTTTCTCTTATATTCAAATTGTCTCCTCTGTTTTGAAAATCCCATCAGTTAGAGGAAGGTATAAAGCCTTTTCCACCTGTGGGTCTCACCTATTTGTTGTCTCCCTGTTCTATGGGACAGGTTTGGGGGTGTACATTAGCTCTGCAGTGACTGACTCCCCCAGGAAGACTGCAGTGGCTTCAGTGATGTACTCTGTGGTCCCTCAAATGCTGAACCCCTTCATCTACAGCTTGAGAAACAGGGACATGAAGGAGGCCTTGAGGAAACTCTTTGGTAGGATAGGTTCTCTGCTATGATGTGCCATTTTCTTTGGATTTGGGTTTTAGAGTAAGGTCAAGTGAAAGGAATCCTGGTGAGCCAGAATGCCTGACTCTTTTTTTTTTTTTTTTTTGTCAAATGTCCAGATGAAATAAAAGCTAAATATATTCCATCTTGGGTTTGTTACCTAACCCTGATTTTCTTTCTAGATCAGGGTGTTTGACAAATGTCTCGACTCTTTAAACTCCATTTCTTTGTTCAGGTCATAGAGTCAGAGGCTGAGCTAGGTGTTCCAGCTTTAGTGATTTTAATAGATACAAAATATTTACTAACATGTAAATTTTTCTTGACAAATAGCAAAGACACAACTTATAGGTTTCACTGTGATGTGTAATCAGAACAAGTCAACTGGGATATCAACCACATTCCTTTTGTTGCGGACATTCAGAATCTTCTCATTTTGAAATATCTATCCATCATTGTCAACCACAGTTGTTCTACTTTGCTATGGAACAGTAAAGAAGTCATTTTTCCTGTCCCACTGTGCCTCTGTACCTGCTAACCCTCCCTTTCTCCCACATCTTCTGAAACTCTGGTCACCACCAAACTCTGGTCATGAGCTTTAAGCACCCACATATAAGTGAGAATGTGTGGTATTTTTCTTTCTGGGCCTGACTTCTGTTCACCCAATATCTTCTGGTTTCATTCATGGTGCTGCAAATGATAGAATTCCACCTTTTAATGTCAAAATAATAGTCTACTCTGCATTCCACTTACTTTGTCCATTCACCCATTGATGGGTGCCTGGTTTGATTTCCTCTCCAGTCTACTGTGAAGAGTGCTGTAATACACAGGGAGTGAGATGTCTCTTGTATGTTCAGATAAAATCACCGCTGAATACATACCCAGTAATGGGATTGCTGAATCCAATGGAAGTTGTTTATACATTTTCTAGGGAAGTTGCACACTGCATGCTATAAGGAGTGTAGCAATTGACAGTCCAACCAACAGTGCATAAGAGTTCCCCTTTCTCTGCATCCTCACCAGCATTTGTTATTTTTTGTCTTTTTAATAATAGTCATTCTGAGGTGAGATGATATTGTTGTGTTTTGATTTGGGTTTCCCTGATGATTAGTGAAATGGAACTTTTTTTCTCATACAGTTGTTGTTCATTTATATATCTTCTTTGAGAGATGCCTTGTCAGGTCATTTGTACATTTTTAAATGGGAATTTTTTTGATGAGGAGGAGCTGTGGAATTTGTTCTATATTCTGGAGAATCTTAGGGATGCTTTTATGGGTCAGTCTCAGAGGCAGGAATGTAGTAGAGGGAGGATAGGTCAGAAGAAGGCCAAAGAGGCTGTTGTCATATCTGGAGGCTGGCTTCTGTCTTTATTGCATGTCTATGGTCTCATCCATTGAACCCCAGGAGAGGCCCATAGTGCAGAGAAAGAGCTACATTCTGAACCCTGTTTCATAAATATTGGGACCAGTTACTAGTGGACCATATTCTTCTGAGGGTAATATCAGCATCTAATGTACTCAGTTAGATAATTAGATTATCTCAGAATTTGAGATAATGTTAAGAATCTGAATATATCAGTGAGGACACTAAAGTTTCCAATAAAAAGGAAACCTGACTCAAACACTATAGAGAGCTCATACTAAAGAGAACTGACTGGTGATTGTTGACCACCACTGATGAATGGCCACATGAGAACCTCAGAGTGGGCATATACTTGAATAGTCGTTCAGTCTACCATAATGTGGGTCTTCCTAGGACTTGCTCTTCCAGGGTCACCTGGTGGTTGCAGCAGATACTGGTGTTACACCTAGATGTGGCTGCCAGAGACAGAAACCTGAGCGCCCTTCGCTGGGTCAGTTGATAATAACATTTCCATCGTGTCAACCAGATGACATCTCTTTTATGAATCATTTTACGTCACTTAAAATGATATGTGTAGGTTCTAATTCCCTCAGTAACTTAAATGATGAGAAGGTGAATGTTGCATACATAGGAGGAGTGTCTTGGGGAGTGGTGGCTTGTCCTTGACTATCTGGGTGGGCCTGGAACTCATTCCATTACAACCCTGCTGGGATCATTAGGTGCTGTTTATAGTCATTTGGTGATTCTCTGTGCTTTGCTTGGGAACTTGGGCCTTGACAGGGAACTCGTGGCTTACAGAACTGTGGCACAAGGTATTTCTCTTCTTTATAAATGAAACTTCTCTGTGGTATTCTGTTATAGCAGCACAGAATAGACAAAAAACACTGTTTCAGGATTTTTTCTCTTCTGTGTTTAAATTTTGATTTGCAGATCTTATGTGAGTGAGAATGAAGTTCTCTTCTTATTTCTGTCTGTGAGCTCATATTTTTCTAATATAGAAGGCTCTCAGTGGTTTCTACCAATCATCAATCACCTCTCTTGTCCTTCATTAAGTTTAATGATTCCTTTTCTTGTAATTTTTTTTTTTTGATACCAGGGATTGAATTCAGGAGCACTCGGCCTGAGCTACATTCCCAGCCCTATTTTGTATTTTATTTAGAGACAGGGTCTCACTGAGTTGCTTAGTACCTCACTTTGCTGAGGCTGGCTTTGAACTTGTGATCCCCCTGCTTCAGCCTCCAAGCCACTGGGATTAGGTGTGAGCCACTGCGCCCAGCATGATTTTAATAATAAAAATCCAGCCAAGAGGCAGCAAGGTAGCATGGCTCACTTGCTTCCTGGTAGATTTTCTGAAATCTTTAACTATTCTATTATAATCCAGACATTTTAATAATTTCTGTTTAGCCACATTTCTCCAATATGGAAGTTCCACTTTTGCTCCAGGCTTCAACCACCTAATCTCTTTGAGAATGTTTTGCCCTATTACATGGAGGCAGTAACATTTTTTCCATAATTTGTTGAGCACTTTGATCATCCCAATCATTTTTTTGGTATGCAGAAAAATTTGTAAGTTGTTTTATGGGAACTAGCTATATCTTTTAAAAATTTATCGATTATTTCATGTGTTCGAAATTACTGGTGGTAGTAAGGTGTAGACTGACATAATAATGCCATCTTGTCTCACGTCATTTTGAAATAATATATCAAAGCACCACTGATTAAAAAAATAAGTTCAAATAGAAAGGGTTAACATGCAATGAAATGTATGATAAACTGAGAAAATGATGTGACTCAATTTTTGAAAACCCAGCTTCTACCTCAAGGCCTGTCCAAAGGGAGGGGGCATGGCCCTTGTCCTTGGAAAAACCCACAGAGCACTCCTAGACACATAGCCATCCTGCCGAGTTGTTTGTCTGTAAATTGCAGGAGAGATCTGTGGCACCAGGTGTCACTGACTCAGTTACGCTAGATGAGGACCCATAGCATCCCCCTAACAACCACCAATCAGCGAAGACAGGGAAAATACCTGAAATTCCAGGTGACTCCCCCCCCCGCCCCGCCCAGTAGTCTTGGTGATTGATAACATGTTAGGAAACCGTGTAGATTAGCGCATACAAACCAATCAGTTAAAATGTATCCACCTCTTGAACTCACCAATTACCCTTACTCAACTTGTTCCCGCCAGTGAATGTGCTAATCAATGTTAAGAGTTGTTGTTTGATTTCCCGTGGTATGAAATGATTTGCTGTGTGATGTTGTGACACATAGAGTATCCCCCCAAAACCTATAAATCCTCACTGAACTAAGGGCCGCGACTCACTCCCTGGGACTGCTGCATTGGAAATGGTTGTGAGTCCAGGCTCGAGCTTGCAATAAAGACTCTTGTGGGATTGCATCGGATTTGGCTCCTGGAGGTCTATTGGGGGTCCCACGAATCTGGCATTACAAAACACGTGAAAATATTGAACTCTTTAAAGTGAAAATTTGTAATTAAGTTTCAAAATGGAGAAGTGTCTTCACCTAACTATGGTTGAAACCTGACTGTGTTTACTGGATAAACTGTCTTGCCTGTGATGTAATTTCCCAAAACTTTATAAAAATCAAGTCATGAGTTCATGGGTTGAACTAATTTATTTCCCCTGATGTGAAATAAAATGTAAACTAGCACTATTGTGATGAAAATTATATCCACATTAGTTACAGATTGTAGATTGGAATCTGATGAATTAATTGCTCAGAATATAGATTAAGTCTCAGGAAACATTCAATGATACTTAAGAAAAAAAGGAATGTTTCCATATTTACATTATATATATAGCTATATCTTAGCTATATTTACAAATGTATTTTACATACACACATAGAAGAGCTATGCTCTGTACATAAAACTAGAATTAGTATTCAGAGAGGCCATTCCTTCTACTGAGAATGAAAAAGGGAGACTGGGATACAGACGAGGGTGGCATGTGCTGAGACAGGCAGGCGGTGAGAAGTGGATGAGTCACTTGGTTTTGCAGAGCGAGGGACTCAGCCATATTGAATTCTGTTTGTAGAGTCTTGGCCTTTAAGGATTTCCAGTGCCATAGGATTCAAAAACTAATGACAGCCTTCGTGTAATAAGGAGCTTTGGATATTAGGTCCCCAGGGATACAGAAACTGCAAATTCCCTGTGACCAGTCAGGAGACAAGAGCTGGGAATCCCCTCAGAATTCATCTATTTGGCTTGAGCTCAGAGTCTCACTCTGTCCCTCTGCCTTCCTGAGGACAGATCTTCTGTGTCCATCCACCATCCAGGGGAGATGACCATGATCACTGCACAATGATGCCAGCCAGGTAACCTGAAGTCCCTTAGGCAATGGGAAGGAAGCAGGAATTGAGTACAGTTTGATCCTGGTGATGCCGCTGTGAGGAAAATACCTGAGGATGATCCAGACCAAGTCTCCCAGGGCACTCTTGTGCCTGGCTGTCTTTCACCACTGTGATATGTTCTTTGCTACCTTTGTAAACTCATTCAACACAGCTCTCAATCTGGTGGTCTTCTCTATGTACATAATGACAAGAACCATTTTCTTCTTGAGCATAAACCCTCCTTTTTCAAAATGGATGAATGTGACCAAATTCTTCACCATTTTCTTTGCTCTTTGGGTGGTGGAGGGGAGATGTGTCAGTCAGCTTCACCTTGTCTCTATCACCTGTCCTACATCTTTTGGTGGAGGAACTTGGGTGTTGTCTCTGTTTTTTGGCTGTGAGGACATGGAGGGGGGATGCAGAGACCTAGGCAGACTCAGTAAGCTACTGCTCTTATCTACTTGTTTGTCATTTTAAAACCAGAGACTATTTTTAATTGTAACAGTGACACAGAGTGTGTAATAATAATTTAAAATATACCACCATTCACCCTTTCCCAGAACTCATAAATGCTGATGTTCTACTAGTATCAATTTAATCATTTTTATTTAAAAATTATATGTACTGGGGTTGGGGTCATGGCTCAGTGGAGGAGCACTTGCCTAGCATGTGTGAGGCACTAGGTTTGATTCTCGGCAACCCATGTAAATAAATAAAATAAAGGTCCATTGACAACTAAAAAAAATTTAGAAAAAATAATATGTACTGAAGGGCTCATTACACATTTCACTGTATTCATTGTCTCAGAAGAAAGATCAATGCAACAAATTTCCTTGTGCATTTTTTCAGATTTTATATGTGTCCATCCGTATATGTAGGGTAAAAGGAAAACTGTATAACATCAATGAGGCAGAAAATGGAGAAATGAACTTAGATGTAAAAATATAGCAGTATTTTGTGGTAGTTAAAGTTAATAAAATTATGAACAGCAATTTTAAAAAATCACATAAGGAAGTCAATTGTAAAATGACATGAACAATAAGATGCTTATAATATAGGCCTTTGTAAAACAAAATACTATAAAATTGCTTGTGGAAGAATAGTATGAAATACAATAAAAATATGAGGAAATCACATGTATGTGTTTGTTAAGTTATAACTCTTTACCCTGTGAACAAAAGGAAATATAATGGTATGAACACATTCCTCCACATACATGTTTTATTTATTGCAATGATAAACCCTAAAATGAAAATGGAAAAAGGTTCAAATTTGATAATCGACTGGTGGATACTCAGACTTGTGTGTTATTTTGTGTACTTTTTGTTATGGTAACATTTTCTACAATGGACCAAAAGAAAAATTCTCTGTAGAGGTTTGTTAAATATTTAAACATTATTTTCATGAAGGACCCTGTGTATCATCCATGTTCTACTCTCTTGTAACTTTTCAATGTTTATATTGATTTATACATCTAATTTGTTTTCATCATTTAAATCATTTTATTTGTATTATGTCCATGCCAAATTAAGAGTGATGCTATTAATACTGATTTCCTTTCCTCTGGACATGACCAAGACTCCCATGAGGAAGTTAGCACATGAAATATGCTGCCCTTCAAATTTGCAGTTATAATTCCAGGGATGTTCTGTTTCTCTGTCCTCTTTTTCTCATGTGTCCCAGGGACAACTTTCTTCCTAGGCAGAAAATATGCATGCGTCATGGAACACAAAATGTCCCAATGGGAAGTGTCATGGTGAGGGCCCCAGGTGCAGTATGAGTGCTGGCCCACTGGGTCTGTCCATTTCTCATCACTGTAATAACAACTCTGTGAGTTTTATGACAGGCCCTGTGATAGGATGAGGGCATTGGGGCTATTTAAACAGCTGAAGAATTTTCTTCTATTTACAAAGCAAATGCCGGAGTATGGGTTTCATTTAGAGTGTGTGAGTCCAAGAATTAACTGGGCTGGAATTAATGTGTCCAAGGAAGGAGGTGAGGGACAGAGAGGATGAAAGGAGAGATAAGGAGAGGGAAGGATTTCAATATTCATCTAGGTTAAAAATACAGAAGAGAGTTTTTCCAGAGCCCCGTTCTCCAATGTGGCCATGTGTGGGAGGGAGAGCTTGTTAAATGGCGGATAGCTGGACTTCATCCCTGGAGCTAGTTGTCGTAGGTATGGAATGGGGTCCAAATATTTCTAACAAGTACCTGGGTGATGCTCCTAATGCTGTGACCCTGAACTAAGGATTTTATTGTCCTGTCACCCATCTTTTACATCAGATTCATCAGTGACACCAAACTCAGAAACCAAACAGCTGTTTCAGAATTCCTGCTCCTGGAACTGACAGATGATCCGGCACTGCAGCCGCTTCTCTTCAGCCTCTTGCTCTCCATGTACCTGGTCACAGTGCTTGGGAACCTGCTCATCATCCTGGCCATCAGCTCTGACTCCCACCTCCATACCCCCATGTACTTCTTCCTCTCCAACCTGTCCTTTACTGACATCTGTATAAGCACAAGCACCATCCCCAAGATATTGGTGAATATCCAAGCACAGAGTTGGAGTGTCTCCTACAGAGGCTGCCTCTCCCAGATATTCTTCCTCATGGCTCTTCTTGTCTTGGAAAATTGTCTCCTCACAGCCATGGCCTATGACCGCTATGTGGCCATTTGTCACCCCCTGATGTACACCATCATCATGAATCCTTCCCTCTGTGTGATGCTGGTTCTGATCTCCCTCTTCATCAGCACTGTGAATAGCCTCCTCCACACTCTGATGGTGCTGCGTCTTTCCTTCTGCACAGACCTGGAGATCCCTGACTTCTTCTGTGAACTTTCTCAAGTCATTAAACCTGCCTGTTCTGATACCCTCATCAATCATATTTTGATTTATTTTTCCTCTGTCATATTGGGTGGTAGTGCTGTCTTTGGGATCATTTTTTCTTATGCTCAAATTGTCTCTTGTCTTTTGAGAATGCCATCAGCTGGCAGAAAATACAAAGCCCTTTCCACCTGTGGGTCTCATCTCTTTGTTGTTTTCTTGTTCTATGGGACAGCTTTTGGGGTGTACATTAGCTCTGCAGTGACTGAGTCATCCAGGAAGACAGCAGTGGCTTCAATGATGTACTCTGTGGTCCCTCAAATGCTGAATCCCTTTATATACAGCCTGAGGAACAGGGACATGAAGGAAGCATTGGAAAAAATATTTAGTAGAATAAAGTTTTTAAGGTAATATTCATCATATTTAAACATGGTTTATGAATGCAGGTAAATGATCATTTAGCACTCTCATGTAAAACTTTAATTCTTTCCCTATGAGTTAAACCATTTTCATATGGAGAAAGGTTTCCATTTTTTTTGAGCACTGTTAGGTTTGAAAAATAAAGACTGAACAAGAGAAAATAGAAACAGGAAAGATTAATGGCCATCATTTTCTAAGGTGAAATGTTGTCTGTATGTCAGAATGATCTCTCCATGTATAGAGTGTAAACAATGAATTCTTACAGGAGAATCTGAGAGCCTGGGGCAGAGCTGGTAGTTGGGCAAAGGAAAAGTGTTCAGCACCACCATCCCTGGACAGCTCCAAGCCTGGATTCCATGATGTCTTCAAGTGTAGAGGTTTTCAGTCTACATAGCACCTGTGGGGGTGAGTCACCTGAGGAGTACATGCACACTGCAGGTTCATAGGCATCCCCCCCAAAGTACTAAGTTTGAATCTTTGGGGGATTGTTGCAAGTATGTGCTTTGTAAGTAAGTTTTGGTTGAGATTCTGATACTGTTTCAAGTTGGAGCATATAGAAATTAATATTTCAAGACCATGACAATGTATTCGTAATATGCAACATAAAAGACCCTGGTTTCAATTTCCTGTTCATACATTATATACTTGGTATGTAAAACTTATCAGTAGCTTAAAAATCGTTGTAGTATAATAAAAACATACATGCAAATCAATGGATTAAGAGGAATCATGAAGTATTTTTGGAGAGTTCTCCACTCATATTTCTTTGTGGTCTCTAATATTAATAGTTTTGCTGAATTTTCTTTTCATTATTTAAAAAATATTCTTTAGGAGAACAGTAGAAAATAAGAGAAGACAAACTAAAAAGTTTTTTCTCAGCAAAAGAAACAATAAGAGAGGTAAATAGGGAGCCTACATCCTGGGAACAAATCTTTACTCCTCACACTTCAGATAGAGCCCTAATATCCAGAGTATACAAAGAACTCAAAAAATTAGACAATAAAATAACAAACAACCCAATCAACAAATGGGCCAAGGACCTGAACAGACACTTCTCAGAGGAGGACATACAATCAATCAACAAGTACATGAAAAAATGCTCACCATCTCTAGCAGTCAGAGAAATGCAAATCAAAACCACCCTAAGATACCATCTCACTCCAGTTAGATTGGCAGCCATTATGAAGTCAAACAACAACAAGTGCTGGTGAAGATGTGGGGAAAAGGGTACACTTGTACATTGCTGGTGGGACAGCAAATTGGTGCAGCCAATTTAGAAAGCAGTATGGAGATTTCTTGGAAAGCTGGGAATGGAGCCACCATTTGACCCAGCTATTCTCCTTCTCGGTCTATTCCCTAAAGACCTAAAAAGAGCATGCTATAAGGACACTGCTACATCAATGTTCATAGCAGCACAATTCACAATAGCAAGACTGTGGAACCAACCTAGATGCCCTTCAATAGACGAATGGATAAAAAAATGTGGCATTTATACACAATGGAGTATTACTCTGCATTAAAAAATGACAAAATCATAGAATTTGCAGGGAAATGGATGGCATTAGAGCAGATTATGCTAAGTGAAGCTAGCCAATCCCTAAAAAAACAAATGCCAAATGTCTTCTTTGATATAAGGAGAGTAACTAAGAACAGAGTAGGGACAAAGAGCAGGAGAAGAAGATTAACATTAAACAGGGATGAGAGGTGGGAGGGAAAGGGAGAGAGAAGGGGAAATTGCATGGAAATGGAAGGAGACCCTCAGGGTTATACAAAAGTACATACAAGAGGAAGTGAGGGGAAAGGGAAAAATAATACAAGGGGGACAAATGAATGACAGTAGAGGGGGCAGAGAGAGAAGAGGGGAGGGGAGGGGAGGGGGGATAGTAGAAGATAGGAAAGGCAGCAGAACACAACAGACACTAGTATGGCAATATGTAAATCAATGGATGTGTAACTGATGTGATTCTGCAATCTGTATATGGGGTAAAAATGGGAGCTCATAACCCACTTGAATCAAAGTGTGAAATATGATATATCAAGAACTATGTAATGTTTTGAACAACCAACAATAAAAAATTAAAAAAAAATAAAATAAAGAAATTGAAATTAAAAAAAAAAGAAAATAAGAGAAGAAGTTGGGGTCAGGGAAAGGAAGGAACATATCAAAAGGGTATATACTTGGAAACAAAACTGAGCAAATTATATTATGTTCCTCTAAAATATACTACAATGAATCCCAATAGTATTTATAATTTTAATGCACCAATCAAACTGAATAAAAAGAGAAGTAAAGCATTGTTAAATTACTCTGAGTCTTATGAAATTGCCCATAGTTCATTGTGCATCATCCCTATCATTTTTGTGGGAGTCATTTGCTTGTTTTAAAAATGTTTTTGTTAATGAATTGTAGTTATACACCATGATGACATTCACTGGGACATATTTGTACATGAATAGAATAGTTCTGGTTGTCTGTCTGTCTCTCTCTCTCTCTCTCTCTCTCTCTCTCTCTCTCTCTCTTTCTTTCCTTTGCATGGGATGCTGTGGATTGAATCCCAGGCCTCATGCATGCTGGGTCAGTGCTCTACCACTGAGCTGCACCCCAGCCCTCAATTGCATATTTTTTTCATGCTTTCATGTAAACTTGCAACATTTATGAGATAGTTTTACTAAAGAAATTGCCTCATTTTGAACTAAAGACTTTAATCTTTGTGTATGAATTCTGTTTATGATTGTTTTTGCATCATTGTGCTTTGAGATTCAAACTTGCTGTTCATTGAGACACCAGTTAATTTCTTTGGATGGAATATAGTTTTACATTGTATATGTTAAAATATGTTCATCCTAGGCTGGGGTTGTGGCTCAGTGGTAGAGCACTTGCCTACCATGTCTGAGGCATTGGATTCAATACTCAGCACCACATAAAAACACATTTAAAAAAGCAGTATTGTGTCCATCTATAACTAAAAATATTTTAAAAATACAGTTATCTTGTTTGGTGTTGATGCAATTTTCATTGGGTAGTTTTCTTCTCTTTGTGGATTTTGAAAAATATGGGCCTTGTACATGCTCTACAAATGCTACCACTGAGCTATATCTTTAGTCCAAATTTTTGACTATTGTGAATTAACATATTTGAATAATCTTGCACATATCCCCTTCTGGAAATTATCAAGAGTCTTACTGTTGGAGTGGAGTTATTTTGTATATGGGAGCCTCTCCTCTCCTTTGGGTAGTTCCAAAGTGCTTTCCTAAGTAATAGAACCAATTTATATTCCTAATAGAATGTTTTTGTGTTCCAGATAATTACGAGCACACAAAGTTGCTGGTGAGCATTTAAGTACATGATCAGAGATGCTGGAGAACAAAACTGACAAATTTATACTTTGTGCCTGTAAAACATATCACAATGAAGGCTGAGGATATAGCTTAGCTGGTAGAGTGCTTGCCTTGCATGCACAAGGCTCTGGGTTTAATCCCAGCACCACACACACACACACAAAATCACAATGAATCTCAATATTATGTATAATTATAAGTTCTAATAAAACTCAATAAAAAGAAAAGTAAAACATCGTTCAATTACTTTGAATCCAATGAAATTGCCCGAAGTTGATTGTGCAACATCTCCATCAGTTTTGTAGGTCTCCCATGCTTGTTTTCAAATGTTTTTATTAGTGAATTATAGTTATACACAATGATGGGTTTCACTGGGTCATATTCATACATGGATATGATAATTTTGCTCTGTGTGTATGTGTGTGTGTGTGTGTGTGTGTGTGTGTTGTGGGGGGTGCTTGGGATTGAATCTCAGGCAAGTGCTGTACTACTGAACTACACCCACAGCACAGATCAGGCATCACCTACTCAGGATGTCCCTCCCAGATCTCCTTTGTTTTCAATTTTGCTGGCTTGGAAAACTGTCTTCTTGCAGCAATGGCCTATGACCGCTATGTAGCCATTTGTCACCCTCTGAGCTACACAGTCATCATGAATGCCCGCCTCTGTGGTCGGCTGATTGTATTTTCCCTGGTCATTAGCCTTGCAAATGCCCTGCTGCTCAGTCTGATGGTCCTACGTCTGTCCTTCTGCACAGACCTGGAGATCCCCCACTTCTTCTGCGAACTCGCTCAGGTCATCGAGCTGGCCTGTTCTGACACCCTCGTCAATAACCTCCTGATATATGTTGCAGCTGTCCTATTTGGTGGAATTCCTCTCCCTGGAATAATTTTCTCTTATATTCAAATCGTCTCCTTTGTTTTGAAAATCCCACCAATAAGAAGAAAGTATAAAGCCTTTTCCACCTGTGGGTCTCACCTGTCTGTTGTTTCCCTGTTCTATGGGACAGGTTTGGGGGTGTACATTACCTCTGAGGTGACTGACTCCCCCAGGAAGACTGCAGTGGCTTCTGTGATGTACTCTGTGGTCCCTCAGATGCTGAACCCCTTTATCTACAGCCTGAGGAACAGGGACATGAAGGAGGCCTTGAGGAAGCTCTTTGATAGGACGGATTTTAGAGTAAGATAAAGTGACAGGAATCCTGGTGAGCCAGAATGCCTGACTCTTTCTTGTCAAATGACCAGATGAAATAAAAATTATATATGCCATCTTGGGTTAATTACCTAACTTTGCTTTTCTTTCTAGACCTGTGAGGTTTGACAAATGGTTTCAACTCTTTAAACTCTATTTCTTTGTTCAGGTCATAGAGTTAGAGGCTGAACTAGGTGTTCTAGTTTTAGTGACTTTAATGATATAAAGTATTTGTATATAATTTTTCTTGACAAATAGCAATCACACATTTTTATAGACTTTAGTGTGATTATAAACAGATTAGATGAAATGGTATATCAACCACCTCGAATATTTTGTTTTCAAATATTTATTATTTCTTTTTGTTGGGAAAATTCAGAATCTTTCATTTTGAAATATCTATCAATTGTTGTCAACCATTGTTATTCTACGTCACCATAGAACATTAGAAGTCATTTCTCTCATCCCACTGTACTCTGTACCTGTTGACCCTCCCCTTCCTTCCACATCTTCTGAAGCACTGGTAATCACTTTCTGCTCTCTCCTCCTATGAGACTAGCATTAGCACACACATGTAAGTGAGAATGTGTGGCATTTTCCTTCTGCTCCTGACTTCTTTTCACCTAGCATCTTCTGGTTCCACATGCTGCTGTAAATGACAGAAATCCACTTTTTAATGTCTGAATAATACTGCACTCTGTATTCCACTTCCTTTCTCCGCTCACCCGTGACTGGCACCTCATTTGATTTCTCTCTTGGCTACTGTGAAGAGTGCTGCAATATCCAGGGAGTGTGATGTCTCTTGTATGTACTGATAAAATCACCTCTGGATCCATAGCCAGTAGTGAGATTGCCGAATTGTGTGGATTTTCTATTTACAGTTTTTTAAGGAGGTTGCACACTGTATTCTGTAATGGGTGTGATGGTGACAGTTCCACCAACAGTGTATAAGAGTTCCTTTTTTTTCTACATCCTCACAAACACTCTTTATTTATTTCCTGTGAAATAATAATCATTCTGGGGGTAAAAATAATATCTCTATATGGTTTTGATTTGGGTTTCCCTGATGATTAGTGAAATGGAACACGTTTTTCATGCAGTTGTTGTTTATATGTATATATTCTTTGAGAAACATCTAGTCATGTCTTTTGTACATTTTAAAATTGGATTTTTTTTTGAGGGGGAGGATTTGTTCTATATTCTGGTAAGTCTTAGGATGTTTTTATGGCTCATTCTCAGAGGAGAGATGTAGAGAGGGTGGATAGGTCAGAAGAAGGCCAAAGAGGCTGTTGTCATATCTGGAGGCTGGCTTCTGTCCTCACTGCAGGTCTTGGGTCTCATCCATTGAACCCCAGGATAGGCTCAAAGGGCAGAATGGGAGCCACATTTTGTACAAAATTTAATAATTATTGGGACCAGTCACTAGTTGGTCATATTCTTCTGGGGGTAATATTAGCATCTATCATACTGAGCTAATTAAGATATTTGAACTTTGTCAATGAGGACACTCCAGGTTCCAATAAAAAGGAAGCCTGACTCTAATGTGCTCAAACGCTATAGAGAGTTTATACTGAAGAGACTGGTGATTGGTGAAAACCAAGGAGAACTGGCCACATGATAACCTCATTATGAGAATCTCAGAGTTAGGGCAAGTACCTGAACAGGGAGCAGAGTGTCATTCAGTCTACCATAATGTAGGTCTTCCTAGGACTTTCGCTTCCAGGGACACCAGGTGGTTGTAGCAGATTCAGGTGTCACCATTCAGGTGGTTCCCAGGGAGAGAAACCTGAGCGTCCTTCACTGGGTCAGTTGATAATAACATTTCCATTTAGTCAATCAGATGACATCTCTTTCATGAATTGAATTATGGCACTCAAAATGGGATGTCTGAGTTCAAATTCTCTCACTTGTGCCATTAGCTTAAATGACAGAAGGGTAACTGTTGCATACATAGGTAAATTATCTTTGAGGAGGGGTAGCTTATCCTTGACAATCTGGGTGAGCCTGTAAATCATACTGATGGGATGATTAGGTACTAATTAGTCATTTGGTGATTCGACCTTTCAAAGGTCATATTGAAATGCAAATGTCATTGTAGTAGTTTTGAGAACTGGGGACCTTAGAGGTGCTTAGGCCAAGAGAGGTCTGCCCTCATCAAAAGATCAATGATGCCATACAAAGGGCTTTCAGGGGGGTTTGTCTTCATGTGCTGTGTTTCCATGTGAGAACACATTGGTGTCTTCTGTAGGATGCCACATTCAAGGCACCAACTTGTAGGAAGAGACAGGACCCTTAGCCAGACTCTAAACTTCATTTTCTTTCTATTTTATGGAATAGTGAAGCATTGATATTAGCTCTTCCTTTAAAATCTGGAGAAATTCTACAGTGAGTCTGTCCAGTCTTGGGCTTTTCTTGGTGGGGAAACATTATATTACTGGTTCAAGCTCATTATATGTTATACCCCTATTTATGCTTTTCTGTCATCTTTGTTCCATCTGGTAGGTCATACATGTCCAAAAATTAATCAATTTCTTCAAGATTTTTCATCATGTCCAGGATTTAGAAAATTTTCTATTTTCTCACTGAGTATCTATGCCATTAGCATGTAACTCAAATCCCTCATCTAATCCTATGATTCAGGCATTTGGTCTTCTAATGTTTTCCCAGAGATCCACATATCATTTTATCAAAGTTTCTTTTCTATGTTTAATACTGTCTGAAGTCATAGATCATCTACCTTTTCTTCAATACCTGATATTCTTTCTTTCACTTGATCTAGCCCACTGGCAATACATTCAATTGAGGTTTCTTTGTTTGTTTGTTTATACTGGGGATTGAACTCAGGGGCACTTGACCACTGAGCCACATCCCCAGCCCTATTTTATATTTTATTTAGAGACAGATCTCACTGAGTCACTAAGTATTTTCTTTAAAATCAGGACTAAGACAAGGATGGCCACTCTCATCACCTCTAATCAATATAATTCTCAAAACTCAGTTAGAATGGCAATCATCAAGAATTTAAATAATAAAAAATACTCGTGAGAATATGGAGGGAAAAGTACACTCATATATTGTTGGTGAGACTGCAAATTAGTTCAACCAATTTGGAAAGCAATATAGGAATTCTTGAAAGGCTAGGAATGGAACTACCATATGACCCAACTGTTGTAACCCACAGTATTTATCCAAAAAAACTAAAATCAACATAATATCATGATATAGACACATCAGTGCTTATAAATGTGCAATTCACAATAGCCAAATTATGGAATCAGGCCAATTGTCTGTCCACAGATTAATAGAGAATAAAATTTTGTATATATACACAATGGTATCTAAGCCATGAAAAGGAAGTAACGGCATTTGCTGATAAATTATAGAAGAGGGAAACATCAGGATAAATGAAATAAGTGAGACCCAGAAAGTCAAGGGTCAAATGTTTTCTCTCATATGTGAAAGCTACAGCAAACTAAGGAGAAAAGTGTGGTGGGCAGTTACATGAAAATATAAGAGAGATCAGTGGAGTAGAGAAAGAGAATTCAGGAGGCAGGAGGAGGGATGGGAAAGGGAGGGAACTTCAGAATAAAATTGATCAAATTATGCTCTGTACACATATAACTATACCACAGGGAGTTCCACATTTATGTATATCTTCAAAGAACTAATTTTGAAACAATCAAGAAATACAAGATGGACCAGAAGAGTAGAGGGGAAGGAGGAAAGGAGAGGAGGCGGAAGTACTGGGAACTGAAATGTTGCAAATCTTGATCCATATATGCGTGATTATGTCAAAATAAACCCTAATATCATGTGTAAGTATCATGTACTAATAAAAATATTTTAAAAGACATTAAATAATTTAACAAGTTCAAAATGACACAATTTATTTAATGAATTTGTTTAATGAATTTTGCTTGCTTACCTAATAAAGGTGACAAAATCATGCAGCTGAATCCTGTGAAAAAGCCAGTGTGTTGGCACACATGACCCATGACTATCCATTTCAAAGGATTCAGGGAAATAAAAAAATATTGAAAATAATAAATATAAATTTCAGTGGAGCTGTTTCCTGGAAGAGGAGAGAGGAAGATGGAACTGCAGGATTCCTTACACATATTCTATCTTTATTTTTAACCTGATTTTCTGTATGGTTTTTTGTTTTGTTTTGTTTTTTGTTTTGGTGGTGCTGGGGATTGAACCAGGGCCTTGTGTGTGCTAGGCAAGCACTCTACCAACTGAGCTATAACCCCAGCCCCTTTACGTTTTTATTACATTACAACACAGTTAAGCCTGCAGGTAAGTTTTATACAGTAAGTGTATAATACTTGACGGTATGTTAATTGAGGCACATAGGAATGCGTTCTCTTTTGTGCTGGAAACATTAATACCAGTCTTCCCACACTTGAGAGCCTCAGAACCTCACAAAGGGCTTATTTATGAATCACTACTTTAGACATCTCCACAAAGATTCAAGCTCAACAGTTCTTGAGTGAGATCAGTATGAACATGGTCCTCAGGCGACACCCCTGAAGGTGCTCTGTGGTCACCAGGGGAGGAAGCTCTGCTCTGGAAGAGACAATAGGGATGGCAGGGAGCTGTCCACTGATGGTGGTGCTGAACACTCTTCATGTGCCTCACCTCTTGCACCAATGACACGCTCTCACATTCTCCTGTGAGATTTCATTTCCACACCTGGAGAGATGGCTCTGAGAAGCCTTTTCTGTTTGTTGGGAAGTAATGATCTTTAATCCTACCTGCTTGTTTTCTCTTTCACTGCTTTTTAAAAAAAAACACCTAATATCTCCTCTAAAATGAACATCTTTCTCCACAGAAAAAAATGGTTTTCCTCATGAATACAACATTAAAAAGTTTTGCATGAGAGTCCTAAATGTTCACTGGATGCACTTTGGAAATCTGGCTTAAATCTGATGAAAATCACCTGAAGAATGTTAGTCTACTTAATTTTTTCCTCAAAGTTTCCCTCATATCCCTGTTTCTCAGGCTGTAGATAAAGGGGTTCAGCATTTGAGGGACCACAGTGTACATCATGGAAGCCACAGCAGTATTCCTGGATGACTCAGTCACTGCAGAGCTAAAATACACGCCAAAACCTGTGCCATAGAACAAGGAGACCACTAAGAGATGAGAGCCACAGGTGGAAAAGGCTTTATATTTTCTGCCAGCTGAAGGCATTCTCAACAGAGAAGAGACAATTTGAGCATATGAGAAAATGATTCCAAACAGAGAACTACCAGCCAAAATAATAGAGAAAAAATAAACCAAAATGTTATTGATGAGGGTGTCAGAACAGGCAGGCTTGATGACCTGAGCAAGTTCACAGAAGAAGTGGGGGATCTCCAGGTCTGTGCAGAAGGATAGACGCAGCACCATCAGTGTGTGCAGCAGGGCATCCACAGTGCTGATGAAGAGAGAGATCAGAACCAGCATCACACAGAGAGAAGGATTCATGATGATGGTGTACATCAGGGGGTGACAAATGGCCACATAGCGGTCATAGGCCATTGCTGTGAGGAGACAATTCTCTAAGACAAGAAAACCCAAGACAAAGAAGACCTGGGAGAGGCAGCCTGTGTAGGAGATGCTCGGATTCTGTGCTTGGATGTTCACCAGCATCTTGGGGATGGTGCTTGTGCTCAAGCAGATATCAGTAAAGGACAGGTTGGACAGAAGGAAGTACATGGGGCTGTGGAGGTGAAGATCAGAGTTCACAGTCAGGATGATGAGCAGGTTCCCCAGGATGGTGACCAGGTACATGGCCAGGAACAGGCTGAAGATGAGGGGCCGCAGTGCTGGGTCCTCTGTCAGTCCCAGGAGAAGGAATTCTGAAACAGCTGTGTGGTTTCTTGGTTCCATGCTAACAATGAATCTAAAGCAAAAGATGGGTGACATGACAGGTAAAGTTCTGATTCCTGGGCTCATGCAGCAACAGCATGACCTAGAGACTTGTTAGAAGTGCTGATATGTGGATCCCTCAGCAGGACTACAGAGAATGAGCTCTGGGGATGAGGAACAGCAGTGCATGATTTAACAGACTCCCTCACGTGCTAATGTTTGAGGATTGCTGTCCAAGCTTCTCTCTTTTAAATGAAAATCTAAATGAATTCAGAAATCCTTCCCTTTTCTCTCTCCTTCCTTACCTTCTTCCCTATACACATTTATTCACCCTAGTTTTTATTGGGAATTAACTTTCTCACACCTGGTGAAGAGTGATGAGAATGTAATAAATAGAGATGACTCTTCTGTTTCAGAACTATTGTATGCTTTCAAAATATATATACACAAAATTACAAAGTCTGTCACATCCTTAGTGAATTTATCTCTGTATGGTGGTAGGTGGCATATGATTGAAAGAAACAAAAATAACGAGGGTAGAACCGAAGATGTGTGGGCTTGTATAAATGCACAGAAAGCAACAATTTGTGCTCAGAAGACAACAACATAAAAGAGCTTTAGCTTTGGGTTTTCTTATGGGAACTCCCTGTAGAACGTGGATCTTCTTTCAGAGAGGAGTAGCCATCAGAGCATAGATAATTTGGGGGAATTATTAGATTCACACATGCTGAATTATTTTTATCCTCTAGCATTTGTTTTGTAAGAGAAACAAATTCTTTAATTGGAGGTAGAGGACCTGCAGTCTATGATTCAACAAGCCCTCTGAATGTCTTTGATGTATGATGATTTTTTAAAAAAATTTTGGTACCAGGGGTTGAACCCAGAAAGCTTAGCCATCGAGCCACATCTAAAGCTGTTTTTATTTTTTATTTAGAGACTGAGTCTTACTAAGTTGCTTAGGGCCCCTCTAAGTTGTTGAGGCTGGCTTTAAACTTGCAATCCTCCTGCCTCAGCCTCCCAATCCACTGGGATCAGAGTCATGCACCATCCAGGCAATGTATGATGCATTTTAAGAACCACTTCCTTAAAAAGTAAAATAAATAAATAAATAAATAAACCCAAATCATGGGTACTGTGTACTCAAGTGAATTTTATGATATTTTCCTCTGCTGTTTTCTCCCTCCATCCCTTTTCAATCATTCCTCTTTTCCCTCCACTCTCTTTATTAAAGTAAATTTGATTGTTTGCCAACCCTCTTTAATGTGCAAAATGCTGAGAATGAAACAAAAGACAAGGGATAACTTTTCAATCAAAATTATTCAAAGATATTTTTAAAAGGCCAGAATGAAATTTTGAATTATTTTCTATAGCATTTGTTCCCTTTGGCTTGCTTCAGACCATCTGTAGGTCTTGTCACATTACACATGTGTTAGTTAGTATCATCCTCACTAATCCACGAGGACACTACGGTCAGGTGAGTTTACAGCTTGAATGTGAGATCCACAGAGACCAAGACTGGCTTGGGCTCAGACTACCGCATTGATTCTCGACTAAGTCCTCTTCATGCCTCTGTAGAGTACAGAACTTACACTCTTAAATGATGACTCAGACCTCATCGTTTTCCTATGCAACTTTAATGTTTCCTTCCTGACCAAAACCCCTAGTCTTTCTCTTGCCTTAAAAATACGTCAGTCTCTACTCATGACATTAATGGTAGCAGGCAGATGACATTCATCCATGTGAATCTGAGGGAAGATTAGAAAACGGTGCCCGCATAGTTGAAGCTCATAAAACTACCCCATAGTATCATAAACCATCTCCGTTAGCAGTTAATTCTAAGGAATTCAGGAAACTCATCATGGGATTCTCTGTCTCATCTTAAGGGAGTTCTTCTCTTAAGTTGATAAGTGGCATATCATTTTTTTCAAAAATCTGTGAAAATACATAAAATGGACATCTAAAAAACAGATGAAAGTGTGATATTCAGAAAAGAAAATGTTATAAGATAAACATACTTATAAGTTAATCAGGGTCCAATTATGAGCATGCCTACAGGGCAATCATTCCTGTTTGAAAGGGGAAGATGCTATACAGCATTTACCATTGGGTGTCACATTGGTCTCACACACTCTGAAGGTAATCAAGACTCCCTCACATGCTTGTGAAGGGGAAAATCAACAACTCTATGAGAAGCCTGGATGTTGTATTTGTACAAGGCAAACTATGTGGTGGATTTGTTAATTAACTTGACCGTGGCCACTAACTATATATATATATATATATATATATCTCCAAACATCACTTTGTATACCTTGAATATATGCAAATTTGATTCAATTATGCTTAAATGAAACTGGAAAAAAACTTTGGGAGATGTTTCAAGGTGAGAAATGGGTAGAACAAAGTGCCTGGAGCAGGGCTTCACTTATCAGACTCTCATACTGACATTGTCTGTTGGGTTCTTTATGGAAAGTCATGAACAAGGGGCACTATTCATTCATCAGAAATGGGCCATGTGTCAGGGAAGTTGAAGAAAGGGACAATCCCTAGCCTCATAAATGCAAATATTAGGGAAGCATTTAAAGTACTAAAACTACCTCTGGGAGTGATGGTCAGGTAGAAAAAAATATCAAGGAAACCTGATTGATACCAATATTCATTTAGTATGAACATACGATGAAATACATATGAATTGAAATTTATCAGACAGGTCTGGGGCTGTGGCTCAGTGGTAGAGCACTTGCCTCGCACGTGTGGGTCATTAGGTTCCATCCTCAGCACCACATAAAAATAAATAAACAAAATAAAGGTATTCTATCTACAACTAAAAAAATATTTAAAAAAAATTTAAAAATTATCAGATAAGATAGATACATGAATAACATTTTCAAAATATTAATTAAAGGACTTTAGTTACATGACTGGCTTCAAGAAGAATGTGGTTCAACATCTCACCTGGATATTAAAGATGGAAGATGGGTCCTCAGTAAACGCAGGCAGACTGAAGGAGTCAATGGAATCCTAGTTAGGAAGAGTTACTGGGAAGAGCTCAGCTGTTGCCTCCTGACTGGAGCAGGGCTGTTGAGTGAGGTGGTCCCAGGCTGACTTCTAGTCTCTGTATCCCTGGGGCTCAATATCCAAAGTTCCTCATTAGACCACATATTTTACTAAGCATCCTGATCCCAAGAGTGAATGTCCTTAAAGACCAACTCTGCGGAAGTGAGGGATCCAGGATGGCTGACTCTTGACCCCCGAGGCCATGTTCACACCACTCAATCCTCTCCACTGTGTCTGCTCAACTCCATCTTGCAGACCGTGCCCACCTAACATGGGGCATTCCTCTAATGAATTCAAGGTCTCCTTTTAGGTCAAAATTAAAGTCATCTCTATTTAATTAATGCTTTTAGGAATCTTGGCTCCATTTTAGCTGTGACTATGTCATTTATGTGTGTGTATAAATAGCATATTTATAAATATTTTCTAAATTTCTTTTAGTCACATTTCTGTTACTGTAAAAAAAACATGAGGTAGATCATTGAAACAAGGAAAGGTTTATTTTTGCTCATGGTTTTTGTGCTTGTTTCATGGTTGTTTTGGCTATTGTTTTGTGCCCATAGCAACTCTGTGTATCATAGAATGAGCGTGTGGTAGAGGAGGTGTTTGGTTTGGATTTGGAATGTCCCCCTCTAAACCTCCTGTGTTGAAATCCTCCTGCCCCAGCACGGTTCAGAGGTGGCACTTTTAGGCAATGGTTGGTAAATGAGGACTTTGACCTCATTAGTGGATACTCCATTTGACAGATTAATTTATTAATAGCTGGATGGATTACTGGGAAGCAGGATAGAGATGGAGGAAGTGAGTCACTATTGGCATTCCCTGGGAGGGATTATTCTCTCTCTGCCGCCTGGATGCCACAAACTGAGCCGTTTTCCTCTTTCAGGCCCTTCCAGCATGAAATGTTTTCTTTGGAGCCAGCTGACTATGTATGGAACCCCCGACACTGTGAGGCCAAATAAACCTTTACTTGTCAAACTAGTTCATGTCAGCTATTTTGTCCACAACAATGACAATCTGACTAACACAGATGTTGGGGTCATTGCTGTGACTATACCTGACCCTGTTGTCCACAAGCTTTTGGAACTCGTGAAAAGAGTTTGTAAAATGTTGGAGGTGCAGGTTAGAGAAGATGTAGAATGTAGTGAGCAGAGTTTAATAGGAAATTCTGTGGGATCTCAGAAGATGAGAGTCTCATTAGAAATGTGAACAGTGAAGAATATGCTCACAGTGTTTCAGATGGAAATGAGGATTCTAAAGGGAATTGGACTGAAGTCCATTTATGTTACATTCTGTCAAAGAACTTGTCTACATTTTGTTTATGTCCTGAGACTTGAGGACACATGAGGCTAAATTTAAAAGTGTTGGACTAATTAAGCTGAAGGAGGAAATGACAAGACATCACAGGATTCAGGCAGTTGCATGAGTATTGTTGGGTGCTTTAGTCAAGTTTAACATTAGAAGCAGGAATTAAAGAGAACAAAAAGGTTTGAAAATTGTGTTTGGACCCAAAAGCATGTATAAAATTGGGGCTCAGGAATGTGATGCTGCTGAAAACATTACTGCCACTACAGAGAAGTTAAGTACTTTGCATCCTGACAATAGGCAAGATGTTTTCAGAGAATCTCAGAATCGACCATACACTGCTCATCTCAGGCTCAAGAGTACAAAAATAAAACTCACTTGAAATTTTTGCTGTAAGAGGAGATTGGCAGCAGCCTGTTCACACAGGGTCACCTAACAAGTTTTCCATTCAGGATTCATTTTCCCATGCACTTGAGCTGCCCAGGCACTCAAGTCCACTGCAGCTGTGATCCAAGGTAGCTACTCCTCAAGCTGATGACAAAAGCCACATGGTGTCTTGAAGGAGACTTTGGATTTGGACTTTTTAATTTTTTTAAGCAATGTTGGAACTCTGAAATCTATGGGGACTCTGGGAGATAGAGTGAATGCATTTTACATTGTGAATTGGTCAT